TCAGCATTTACAGAAAGAGTATTCTCTGTTATGAACGCAAAGTGGCGGGACGACAGGAATAAAGCTTCATTAAAACTAATTAAAAATGAACTTTTAGTTTACTTAAATCTTTGTTTGCCATGTTTAGAGGCTATTAATGTATTTAAGAGCGACAGCAATTTGTTACTGGCTGCTAGGTGTAACAAAAAATATGTTTTTAAAAACAAAAAATTAAATACTTTATTTTTATGCCGAGTACTTTTTTTTTAACCTTTTAGTCGAGAAATACTTTATGTAAAGCCTGAAAAGGTGGCAACCCTAAATGTAAGTCAAATTTACCTTACCCTTGTGACTAAATGTGTCAAAAGTTGAGGTTCATTTATTTATTTTATTTGATTGGAAATAAAATTAGTCGAATGTTAACCTTTCGTAAAATCTTGTACCCATAATGCGTTGGATATAGTTATAATTTGTTGTTCCCGTAGTTCTCGCTGGAATTAACTTCCTCCCATTCCAGATACCTACACAAAAAGTGTCTCCCGGTGTTTCTCTCATTTTACAGGTTGAAGTCGGTGACCGGAAGTAATTTGCTGTGTTTGTGAGTTCTACGGAAGAGCCTTAACTTAGTTTGAACGGCTTCCCTTGGATCCAAAATAATTATGATTTTCTTCCCGGGGCGCCAAGCTATACGACTCAACTACGTGCTTTTCTTTAAAAATATGGCGGCGTTCTCGTTTATCACGATTTTTGTGCTGATGGTAATAACCTGTTCAAATACGTGCGTGGCATAGAGAAAATACCACGCTGGGTAAATAGAACGGAGCCAAGTTACAAAGTTGCGTCAATGTTTGAAACCCTGAAGAGAGGAAAGTACGTAAAAGGTTTTCGACATTGGCGGCTTTCTATAATGAAAGCAATTAGGCGAGTGAACCCATTTGAATTTTTAAATAAAACAAACTAAGGGACGCGGTGAACAATTGTGAAAGTTGAAAATAAACTTGGGTATTATTAAGTGCAGAGCTAAGATGAGCAAAGATAAATCATCGATCCGCTTAACCCTTAATATTATATTGGAGGTAGAGGAAAACTATCTCGAGTGTCTTCAATGCTCCATTATTTCTGCTAACGGAGCAAGTGCTTTAGTTTGCTCATAACACGCAGTGGTGTAGTGGCAAATTGTGAAAAGAAATAAAAATAAAATAGAACGGTATTAACATTCCCAAAACAACAGCGTAATTGTAATATATTTATGCTCGCGAACGGTTAATTTAGAAATTCGAAAAAGATTGTTAAAGGTATATGTCTGGAGAGCGACTCTGTACGGTTGCAAACATGGATAGTGATGGGTGTGGCGGAAAAGAAAAGGTTGAAACTTTCGAAATGTGGTAGTATTACGGGCGAATGGTGAGGATACCGTGTGTAGAGAAGGTTAGAAATGAAGAGGTATTAGAAAGAGTAAGAGAACACAGGACTCTATGGAAGTCAATAAGAAATAGGCGAGATAGGCTGATAGGACATGAAGGGCTAGTGAAACATATAAGGGCACAATCAAGAGTTAAGAGGAGTAGAGGTAGACCTAGATTAGATTACTGTTCGCAAATAGTTAAGATTTATGGGATGCTCTTTAATTTTAGGGAAATGTGAAGATTAGCTCAGGATAGGAAAGAATAGAGGTGCGTGTCCAACCAGTCTTAGGACTGATGACCTTATGATGATGATAATCTCATGCCACTAGAGCACCCAGTGAAAAAAGGAGTAAATAAAATAAAAGTAGAAAAGCGCAAAAGTAAATTTCATGCTGTTTTTCCAATTCATTCCTATTTCAATTGAAAAACATTTACAAATAAATTAAACTGGTGATTACCTACCATGCGAAGTTTAGCTCAGGATAGGAAAGAGTGGAGGTACGTGTCCAACCAGTCTTAGGACTGATGACCTTATGATGATGAAAACATAAACTTGAACTATTATGCTACGTACATAATAATTTGTATGGTATGAGATATTTATATATTTGTGCATTTCACGAAGTCCAGACTATTTTCTTCATTAGCATACAAAGATATCAATTAAGTCCTTTTTGCGACGTTCCGTTAAAATATCGGGTATTCATAAGGAAAATTAGACAGTTGTATCTTAGGTGCAAACGACCCCTTAGAATATTATACGGCTAGCACCCGAGTTAATGATTCTAAGAAGTTAATTAAATACGTTTCCAAGCCCCGAAATCTATTTAGAGCAACCTGACATGAATAAAAGGAAAAGCCTATCTGGAATTTTTGAATGTGAGCAATATTTGAACAAGAAAAAAACCTCCAGTGAAAAGCACTTTTCACGTTTTCTTTTATCCCTTTTAAATTGCGTGATACACGTTGTCCCTTCAATTTTATTTAAAAGCACAAAAATAACTCAAAGTAAAAAGATTAGCAAATAAATAGTATAAATTATCTCAGCAAGCCACCTCTATAGGAGTTGAAATCATTATTATTATGATTACAGACATCTGTCATTGTCCCTAAGGTTTCGTTTTCGGCATCTGTTTGGTCAANGTAAATAAAATAAAAGTAGAAAAGCGCAAAAGTAAATTTCATGCTGTTTTTCCAATTCATTCCTATTTCAATTGAAAAACATTTACAAATAAATTAAACTGGTGATTACCTACCAGTTTCTCTCATTCAAGGCTTATGGAACAATACACACATTTCCTAACAAACCTCTTTGTTTAATTTATTTCTGATAAACCGATAGATGTTTATCACTGTCGGATTATTGGGATCAACTGATGGGTTCTAGTCCGTTAAATGGGGTTTTGTTTCTACGTATTTCAAGCCTCAATTGTGGATTATCAGCTGATTGTTTTGAACAAAAAAAAAGACAGGAGTGCTCTCTATTGAGCTAAACAAACGACGGATTGTATATTGTGGGAACACAATGAGTGAGGTCTACTCCAGAGGCGATTGCTAATTTATTTTTCACTATACTTTCAGCAATCAAAAGAAGCGTCACGACTGCCGAAACAAACCAAACCAACTATACTTACTAAAAGTGGAATTACCTATTGAAGTGTACCTTTTACGAACTGAACAGTTCGTTACATACAAAGAGCAAAGAAAAAAGCTCTTCAACTCTATTAAAGATAAAGCTTAGAAGACAGTACGAAATAAGACAGTTTTATTATTTAAATACAAAAACAAATTCACGCTTGTTCATGGTTTGCTACATGACTACTTACTTAACAAAATAAGGTAAAAGACGTGTAAAAAGATGATAAAAACATTGAATGACGGTTTTATACTTTTATTTTAAGATTCTCTAACAATATTGTTTGAACCTTTCGGTTATCTTCAGAAAGCTTTTACAGTAAAAGCAACAGTTATTAATAGATGTGTACGTAAAGCTGACTGAAAGAATACTCAAATGGAATCTTCACCTTCATCCCCTATGACTTAATAATGACGAGCGATTTCTACATACAACGTATTGTGCAAGTTGTCAGAAATTCTTTCTCCACATCGAGACAACATTAAACATAAAGACCAAATAAACAGAAAATACAATAGAGCACTTATATACGGCCTCAATTTGAAATCGTAATAATTTTTGACGCGATTTAAACTTCAAAAAGAAAAGCTATGCTGTTGAATATTATTGTTACATATGTAAGTCAAAATCCCTATAATATTTACATTTAAGCTCAGCGTTGTACGGGTGCGAAACATGGACGGTGGGCGCGGCGGAAAAGAAAAGGTTACAAGCGTTCGAAATGTGGTGTTATAGGCCAATGATGAGGATACCGTGGATGGAGAAAGAGAAGAAATGAAGAGGTATTAGAAAGAATAGGAGAACAGAGGACTGTATGGAGGTCAATAATAAATAGGCGAGATAGGTTAGTAGAACACCTTTTTAGGCATGAAGGTCTAGTCAGAGACATATTAGATACAGAAACGGGAGTTAGAAGAGGTAGAGGTAGACCTAGATTAGATTACTGTTCGCAAATAGTTAAGGATGTGGGTTGTCACCGTTTTAGGGAAATGCGAAGAATAGCTCAGGATAGGAAAGGTTAGAGGAACGTGTCCAACCAGTCTCAGGACTGACGACCTTATAATGATGAACATTGATATCAAATTTTATTTATTGCTCTTTGATAATGGAAAGCATACAAACGCATAAATAAGGGGATTAAAACAGATATTAATAGAAGTAATTAATAAGTTACAAACCTCCTTTGGGGAGCACTCAGCTATGTAGCCCATTTCTAATAAGTCAACCACCATAAGAATCGTTCCGAATAAAAGGGCGTCCTTCAGACGAACTGGCAGGAGGGAGTACGTCAGATAAGTGTACACAAGGGTAGTTGCTGTTCCAGCGAGCGGCCGAAGTTTTCCACAGAAAATTGATATACAAATCTGCAACAAAGGAAAGAACCGCTGTTAAATTTATTTCTATAAAGAAAAGTTCAAACTTTTGTACACGAACCTTTTCTATAGATATATATTATTTTCTAATATAAATTCGACATTTATTCAAATTTTTTACATTACAAGTAACGCGTATGCATTGGCCCGAAATTGAACCCTGTAACCTACGATCATTCTACCACTAAACTGTCAACCCCTCTTGTAAGCTTCTTCTAACTGAACATGTTTTCTAATGTTATTAATTAAAGGTGTTGCAAATATTCACATCCGGATTGAAAACCACGAAACATCTGCATTACTTTAGAGATGTTTGTACAGAAGCACAAAAAAGATCAACATTTCTAAAAATTCCCTTAAATAGTGGAGCTTATTAAAGTGTTATATTCCGACGAACAATTATCTAGTGGCCAAGTAAAAACAAAACGTAAAATATCTAAACACCCCACGTCACCATTTTGTTAATGAACACTGAAACTCTAGCCTTCGCTAATTACGCCTTCAGTAGTTTCCATCACAGAGCTGCAATTATTCCACTAATTACCGTAATTGCAGAAGCTGAGCCTGTACAGGATTGGATCACTACTTAAGGCGTAATGGCGATGAAGGATCTCAGAACTTACTTTGCACTTAAGCATGAAACCTAAGAAATGCGTCAAAAGCGATTACTAATTACTAAAAAAATTAATAAACTTCCACTGAAATTTCAACTCCACGAAAAATACATTAATGTATACATATATGTATGTACCTGAACTTAAAACATGGTAGGTTTTCTTTAAATAAATTTTAAAGTATAATAATACAATTTTAATATTAGTAGGTACATTTTGGTTGTCACTGTCCGCTGATTATGTACAATTAACAGATACGGGATTAATTAAAAACTTTAGGAAAGCAAACAGTCAAATACGTGAACGGAAAAATTTAGTTAGGTTTTCACATCAGTCAAAAATAATATAATCCTTCATTAAGGGATGAATTCGTAGATCCTCAATATAAATTTTTAAATGTACGAATTGTTAGTAAGATCTCAAATTAACTTAACTATTAACTAGAAAAACTATGAACTGAGTATAAGCACCTAAAATATCTCTAATTTAGATCATACAATATAATATATCAAATTTACAACTCATTTAAAGTAATGAGCACATTATGTCATCATCATCATAAGGTCGTCACGTCATCAGTCCTAGGACTGGTTGGACACGCACCTCCACTCTTTCCTTTCCTGAGCTAATCTTCGCATTTCCCTAAAACTAGAACAACCCACATCCATAGCTATTTGCGAACAGTAATCTAATCTACGTCTACCTCTACCCCTCCTAACTTCCGTTTCTGCCTCTAATATGTCTCTGACTGGACCTTAATGCCTGAGAAGGTGTCCTACCAATCTATCTCGCCTATTCCTTATCGACATCCATAGAGTCCTATGTTCTCCTACTCTTTCTAATACCTCTTCATTTCTAACCTTCTCTATCCACGGTATCCTCATCATTCGTCTGTGACACCACATTTCGTACGCTTCTAACCTTTTCTTTTCCGCAGTCCCACTGTCCACGTTTCGCATCCATACAGCACCGTACTCCAAACATACACTTTTAACAACCTTTTTCCGAATTTCTAAATTAACCGTTCGCGAGCAAAGAAGTGACTTCTTTTTATTGAAGGCGACTCGACCCTGCACTATCCTCTGCTTTATATTCCTACTACTTCTTCCACCCTGACTTGTCTGACTTTCTAGATTTCTGAAATCGGCCACTTCTTCTAATTTTTCGTCTTCTATCTTTATATTCGCTCCTTCCCTACCTTTTTTTACCTTACATTCCAGTACTTTTGTTTTACTTTCATTTATTTTCATACAGTACTGTTTTGTCAATACCGCTTCCATTTTATTTAAAGCTATCTCTAGGTCCTTCTTGCTAAATACTAATACTGCTATATCATCTACAAATCTAAGCATACTAATCTTTTTGCCTCTATATCTATCCCTATAATTTTACTGTCTTTAATGATGTTGATGGCGTCTTCGATGTATAGATTAAAAAGTAGCGGTGACAGTGTGCATCCCTGTCTGACTCCCTTCCTAATATGTACTTCTCTACGTTGCAGTCCCATCTCTATAACTGCCTGTTGCTCTTTATATATTATTTGGTTTAATTATATTCATAACAATGGAATCGCTATATATTTATAAAAGAACCGATTTACGGGTGGCTTGTAAGATTAAAATTGAAGTGCGATACAGAACTGAACTTTTATATTGCTCAGAAGATGACCTGTAAAATCGTATGATATGTATGGGATGTGTCAAATTGCTTCTTTCGAAGCCATCAGTGCAACGTTCCGTGGCGGGATTCATTTTCGCAATACGAACGCAACTATGTATGTATGTTCGCAAATAAAGGGGAAAAGTAAGAATGCTGGAAACGGACAAATTTAATTTACGAGATAGCTACTTCAATTACATTTTCCAAGATCTAACGTAAAACTCGATTAATAGCACGTTACACATAAGTTCCGAGGGAAACGTTGAAGCACATTTTCTGTAGGTACCTGTGAAATACCTTTGACAACAAAGCTTTATCCTTTACATTAAATTCAGTCGCAATCCACAACCAACCTTCGCAATTAATACTGGCGAAACTTAATTAGGAGTCGTTCAAGTAATGCATATTTAACGTGATTTTTGAAGATTTTTTAACCCCCGCGCCACATGTAATGTTCTGTTACGTTTTGGTTTACCCCCCCCCCCTGCCCCTAATATCTGAAATTACGAAAAAGATACTTTTAAGTTATTTCGTGTTCTCGATACAAAAATTTAAATTGGTAAGAATTGCTTCGTGCATGGGTGATTTTGCAAGTTTTCCTTTTATTCATTAGAGGCTCGGAACGAAGAAAAGGAAATTATGAAGCAGTGGATCATATTTATCTAAATGAAATCCAATTTCCTTTTTATGTCGATTCATACTTATTTGTATACTTTATAACATCTTGACGATCTGATAAACAGAACAAATTAAAAAAGAAAATTTTGAAAAAGATTATCGTCGACGAAAAGAAGAAAAACTTTCCTTTTACATGTAAAGTAAATTAATTAATATCAAGAGGGGCAGAAATATTACATTTATAAAAAATGTCGAATAAAATTGAACACAAAAGAGCAATTAGCCAACAAGAGAGCAACCAGTTTGTTTCCCCAAGTCTAAGAAAATTTAACGAAAAGTAATACTAACAACGAAAAATGTTTGCTAAAGCTAAGTAAAGTTTATCCTTATTTTTTATGGAAAGCGAGAGTAATGAGATGACTAAAAGCTTCATTAATAATAAATAAATAATTTTTAATGTAACATTTTTCGAACCAAATTTATAATCTTATTAACTTATGTTAACTGTTATGGAAGCCAATAAAACATAGGCGAGATAAGTCAGTAGGACACCTTGTCAGGCATGAAGGTCTAGTCACAGACATATTAGAGGCAGAAACAGGAGTTAAGAGGAGTAGAGGCAGTCCTAGATTAGATTACTGTTCGCAAATAGTTACGATTTGTGGGATGTTCTAGATTTAGGGAAAGAGTGGAGGAGGTGCGTGGCCAGCCAGTCTTAAGACTGACGACCTTACGATGATTATATATAACTGCATTCTTTCCATTGCTACGTATTTAGTTATAAAAGGAAAATCAAACTCAATTATAAATTCGTTTGCTGCTAAACCAAAATACCGTTAGAATGCAATTCATATTAAATACTTACGTATGCAAAATATACATAATCACTTCGCAGTGGTTTTCTACATATAATTCTGCACATTTCTTGTATTCTATGGAATATAAACAAAAATATTCGCAACATCATTATCTGCTACATGACTGTAACAAAGATAAACGGAATGCGCAAATAAGCGTACAATACGGGTGGATTACTGAATATTGCAGTGCCCCACATTCAACAGGATACACAATAAGCCACTGTCACATAATAGTTGTCGGGAACACGCAAGGAATAATGACAGCCATTTCCTCTTTTGCAAACCAAGAAAATATTATTCGTTCAACACACATTTTAATGGAACTACCCTAACGTCTACTCTTAATGCGTACATAGTGCATACAAAACTGAATTTCTTCAATGATGATTCAGATTTGCCTATTCAAATGTAAATTTAAAAAAGACTCGACTACAAACATTCAGCATTTTATAACGATAATAACTCTTCAGTTTGATATTATTAACATCTAAAGTATATTTTAAATTAATACCGAGTGTCCCATTTTGATCTGTCACCGCAAATGTTTCGTAAAAAACTAAGCCATTTTTACAAGTTGGATTTGTGATCAAAGTATTCCTATAATATCATTTTTTTTTTGTTAAATATGACACCTAAATAAATATACTTGCATATGCCCTAGACAAAAATATTCAGTCTCCAACCTCTCAGAGTCTTTCAAAGTCTCTTAGAGAGTCTCTCACAGTCTCTCAGTTATTGTCTAGGTGTTTTTATGGATCTCCCACAGTCTCCGTATGAGAGACTCGAACGATAAAATTGTTAATTCAGAGATTCAAGTGTCCCACAGAGAGACTGAATGAATAAAACTGAAAAATTGAGAGATTCGAGTCTCTCGTTCAAAGATTGGATACGCAATGAGGATCTTTCTATGAGCGACTCGAGTCTGTCGTTCAGAGACGCTAAAGTTCTTTTGACAGTCTCTCAACAGTCTCTCTCAGCGACACCTGAGAGACTCGACGAGAGACGGAGACTCGAGTCTCGCTTTCAGAGATTCTGAGAGACTGAAAATTTTTATCTCGGGTGGATTTTCTCAAGATACAAGTAGATGTATAAATAAACACTTACCTCTAATGCAAGGAAAGTGATGAGTACAAAATAGGAAATGATGATCAGATGAACTTCGTTCATTGCAGGTCGAGAGAGAATTGTAAAAATTACTGAAACAAAGGAGAAACTTTGTTAGAAACTGACAATTAAGTGATTTTATTTATAAATAGCATTCTAGCGACATTTAAAGGATAACATACATTCATACTAAACATAATAACACATACCTAGGTAAAAAGCATAAGTAAATTCAAAAAACAGATAAGTAGTAATAAATTTCAAATCAAAACCATTTATTCCTGAAACAGTACTAAACTATAACACCTAATATTATGATTTTACAGATGTACAAATTGAAGATGTCTGAACTCAAGAATATTATCACATCAGGACTAATGTATCTACTAATTTATGCATTTAGGTAAATCATTTTAACATTTACTTTTACTATGATGAATAATGACATGGTTTCATACAACTTTTAAATAAAATTGCGTAAGTACTTAATTAAATTAAGGGAGCATGAGGGTAACAATAAGCAGTATTCACTATTAAGTTAATAAACAGAAACCTTTGTTTATTATTCTTAACGCGAATTTTGCCCCTGCTTCAAACACCAATGTCTGTTGGCATAGAAAACTCTTTATTTCAATTCACTTATACACTCCAAAGTTCAAACAAAACAATTTGGCCGATTAATGGCGGGAAATCGGAGTACCTACTGTGTTTTTTAATCAACTCTGAAAGGTGAACTTAAAGAATTCTTGTTTAGAGAAACAAGACCTAACAGCAGACCATTTAATTGCAAAGGCTTTGATGTACTTTTTTACTTCGTCACTTACTTTGAAGAAAGTTCACTGAGGTGATCATCAAAGAAAAAAAAAATGATCGTTTGCATGAACAGATAAAGTATCTTTATTCATTTTATTCCTAGTAACTTGAGAGAAATTTAAAGGGAAAAATAAATTATCGTTTCTTTTATTGAACAAAGAAAGAAGATACAGTAGAATTTTTATTGTTTTATGATTTAGCAGTCCAACGCTAACACTAAAGGGCATAGAAAATGTGTTATATATGTTAGGCCCGAAGACCGAAAACGCTCAGTGGACGGAAAAAACGGCCACATCGTGTTCTGGCTACTTTCGAACGCACAGAACGCGGTTTGGTTGTTTTTAAATGCTCGCAACGCATTCTTAATGTTCGACTTGTATTATTTGCCCCTGTCTACCTGCGTACAATGAGATTTATATTGTACTTATAAAACATATGAATTTCAATCCATTTTCAGTTTTTAGGAAACAATTGAATTATTAACAACTAGAATCATTTCAACAATATTAAATTTCTTATAATTGTTGTTTCAGTTCTAGGAAGAAAGTTACACTGAATACTTATATTGTCGAGCATATGATATATGAATGAATGAATGAAAGTCAAGTTAGTTATTATATACTCAAAATCAATACCTCCTCTAGGGATTATTAGATGTAATTATAATGGAACCTTCTCGAAAAGTTAATTTCTAAACCTCCTTTATGATCACATAATTCATTGTCATATAGAGTTATCGGTACGTACATTGTTATAAAATCGCCGAAAAGATCATACAAATTACAAATGATCATAAATGTACTGTACTGGAATGATTATAAAGGAAAGTTGTACATTTTTAGTACCTTCAGTTTATAACAATAGCTAATAACCGTACACCTATTGTTTAGGTAAGTTGACAAAATCTTAAAATTACAAAAGGTTATTAAAATTTCATTCATTCATATATTATATGCTCGGCAATATAAGTGTTCAGTGTAACTTTCTTCCTAGAACTGAAAAACAATTAAATATTGTTGAAATTATTCGGCGAGAAAACCCGAACCCATCTTTGGTATCTAATTATAGTTGTCAATAATAACAATAATTGTTTCCTAAAAACTGAAAAACGGATTGAACTTCATTTGTTTTATAATTACAATATAAATCTCATAGTACGCAGGTAGAAAGCGGCAAATAATACAAGTCGAATATTAAGAACGCGTTGTGAGCGTTCAACAATTGATAAAACGCGTTCCGGCTGTTTAACAGTTACCAGAACGCGTTGCGAGCGTTTAAAAACAGCCAAAACGCGTTCTGTGCGTTCGAAAGCAGCCAGAACGCGATGTGGTTGTTTTTTCCGGCCACTGAGCGTTTTCGGTCTTCGGGCCTAACATATATATA